CAAGACATTATTTCTAAAGACTGATACTAGTTCCCACTACTTACGTTTAAAATCCAGAACTTGAAAAAATACATGACGATCATTATATGTCAGATGATCGTCAGTGCAAAGAAGTTTTATAGCAAATATGTGTTCAGAATAAGTACCACTGAATAAAATAAAATCTCATGTCCACGGCCTGGGGGGAATCGGCAGGCGGTACCAACGGTTAGGATTTTAATTGAATTGTATTTTGTATGAATAAATGAAAAATAAAAAACTTTTTATTTAAAAAAAAATAAAATCTCATGTAACTGTAGTTAAGATTAGCAACTTCAAGCATATACAGTGCAAGTCTGCTTAGAGGGAAAAACTATCTTCAATAAAATGTAGTTTCAGGACCTTCCTTCTAATTCTTGTTTACCCCTTAATTTTATGGATGTCCCATCCTGCACCTCATTTTCCCTTAAATAAACATACAACAGCACAATACTTTCATAAATTATATTTGTTCAAAGCAAATAAAATATATTTAATGTAGTCTTTGACCAGCTGTTATTATAAAAAAGAGACATAGTTTGATATAATAATTCGTTACTGAGAAAGGGAAAAATAATAGGACAATAAAACAACATATCTAATTAAAAGTTTTATGCAGTGTAATTTGGTGATGCTATTGGGCCTTAGCCTGATTATGTGAATGTGTAGTTAGCATCCCTTAACACAGGGGTCCCCAACCTCCGGTCCATGGACTGGCACCGGGCCGCAGCATGCCAGCAACTGGGCTGTGCAAACAAGCGAAGCCCCACCTGGGGGATGCAGGCAGCACAAAAAACCACGCCCCTTCTGGTCTGTGGAAAAATCTTTCTCCATAGAACTGGTCCCTGGTGCACAAATGTTGGCGGCCTCTGCCTTAACAAACAGTAAACATGAAATTTATCTCTATGGCCCTCATATTTATAAATGAGTAGGGTGATCAGAGCACGTCTAACTATATTTGTTTCAACTGTTTCATATATTTCACTCTACTATTTATTTATTTTTTGCTCCTCTGCTGCCATGTATTTATAAACATTGTTAAGCATGACTATTGAATACCAAGCAATGAGAAGTTTCAAAAGTATTTCTGCTCAGCTTTCTTGAAAAAAGGTCACATACCGACTGATAGTATTTCTCTGATAGAAGGTTTCTTTCAGTATATATGCAGGCTGAGGATGCCCAGCACTACCTCTTATTTTCTAGAATTTTTCTGTTTCTAAGAAAATCCAAAGTACCATGGCATTTCCCGAACATAAAATAAGCTTCTGCATCTTTGTAGGCCAATTTCAAAACTTAGTAATTTCCTGTTCTACACAGAGCCTGCATTCAACCCCTCCCTTAGTCTAGCAGTAGAAAAGGAAGATGAGTAATCTCTTCACAATCATGACTATCAAGTGCCTTTTTGTTAGGTCAAAAGAGACATTATCTCACAGCATCCAAACTATTTGTTGTACTCACAGAAATCTTGGATCCAAGAATTATAGAACAACAAAGATCACTGTGAGGATAAGTCAAACACCAGCAACATATAGCACTATATTTGCTAACTTAGGACAACATATGAATCTTAGATGTGGATACCACTTCCTAAAAACATGCCACAAGTGATGTACAGGACAAAAAGATATATTGTTTTCTCATACTGTTATGATTTAATGGGAACTCCTTTCAACTGTAGTTCATGGATTATTGTTTGCATTGAAAATGCAGATCTTCTGGACATAGTGATAATATGGCTAGAAATTGATAATGGATATGTATCTGATTTTGTATCCTAATGTTTTCAAAATCTTGAATTAAAGTCAACATTTTAGAGAGCTTCTTTGTTGGATTAGTAGTAACAATTATTTATTTATGTACATAATCTTAGAATATATATAATGGAGGGCATTCTTTATAACTTCATGTCAAATTTCATGTTTAATGGAAGAATCTTTTAAACCAATATTTTCAAACTTGCCAACTTCATGCTGGCTACAGAATTCCGAGATTTGAAGTCTACCCATATTAAAGTTGCCAAATATGAATAATCCAATATGCACCCAGGATACAGCCCAGTTCAAACTGAGCACTTGTAAATGACAATTCATTGATAAAAAGCTTTAAAATACTATAATTGCTCAGTTGCAGAAAGATATTTACATTTATGATTTTATTTTAAACCAGAGTTTGTCCAGATAGTTCCAGATAGTTATGGAAACCATTTTGATCAGTCATGCTGTGGGGAATCAGGGAAAGAAACATAAAAAAGCATCCAAAATTATTAGCACCCTACAAGCAAAGATTGCAGCAATTGGGGCATTTTAATTAGAGCTATGGTGAATAAGAGGAGATGTGATATACATACATACATACGTATGTATGTATGTATTATGCATGGTATGAAAATGTGGACAGAGACACATAATGTTAAAACAGAGGTTATACAAGAAAACAACGTGTAGAAAGATTAAAAATGCATCTATATTCTACACATAAATAATTATGAATGTGCTGCCATCAGAAGTGATTCTGACTACTGATTTATATATTTTAAATAAGGGCAAGAAAAATTAATGGAGGATTAAGATGGAGACTGTTTGGTGTAGTAGTTAAAACATCAGGCTAGAAACCAAGAGATAGTTGAATTCTTATAAGAGAAGAATGGGCAGACCTGGCAGGTGAAGTTAAATATATCATCGGTTTAGAATCATTGGTTGCCACAAGAAATCCAAATCTAATTCACCGTGAATTCTGTGGACCCTTATCTAGCACCAATTTAGTCCTGACCATTAGGATATGATATCAGCCGGGTGCCCTTGTGCCAGTCTTTTTCTCAGCTCAGGAAAGGAGGCAAGGGTGAACCACTTCTCAAAAATTTTACAAAGAAAACTCCAAGGATTTGTCCAGGCATCCCCCAAGAATGGAAGAGGAAAAAAGAAGAGGGAGAGGAGAGGAGAGGAGAGAGAAGAGAGAAGAGAGAGAGAGGAGAGAGACAGAGAAGAGAGAAGAGAAAAGAGAGAAGAGAGAGAGAATGTTTTGACGGTTGTTTTCTCATTCCCAAACCCTGAACTGCAGAAATAACTATTTAAATAGTAGAAAATGTGGAGTAACAGTGGAAAAGGCCAAGAATCATCTTATCCATATTTGTGAATTTTGGTTGGCCATTTATAACATAACATGTTGGACTAGATGGGTCATTGGCCTGATCTAGCAGGATCTTCTTATCTTTTATATTCTCAGATCACTTGAGTATGCTGAACCGTACAGACCAATTCCTATTTGAATTTATTTGGGGGTCCCTGAATTAGGAAACCGCTATTTTTCTTTCCCTTTATATTTATGAACAGCTGATTTATTTCACAACAAAAAAGGCATAGACTCATCCAGAGTGGAATTTTGCAGGGTTTTGGAAACATACAAAGCTACTAGTGGGAGTTGTGAATAAGACAAGGGTTTTTTTTTATAACAAGCTGTATAAAAATTCTAAGAGTCCTAAAATGAACTTGTATTACTCCAAAATCATAGTATCTTGATTAATGAATTCAGAGATGAGGTGAAGTTTGAACCAGGGATTTTATATTTCATAGTTCACGCAACACTACATTATATCACTGTTGGATTCTTTGGCTCATTTTGGTCCTTTTAACATACACTATATCAGGTGGCATGAATGAAAACTGTATAGCCTGACTGGCAACCATGGTCAAAAAAGTCAAAATGGTGGCTGAAAATGTTTGAATGATTTCAGTCCAATTTTAGCATGGGTTACACAGAGCTTTGATCATACGGTCACAATTGTCACCTTGTCTTCCTTGACCATATTCTGTGGATACTCCTGCATCTGTATTGTGGCCTACAAACTTGTGAAAAGAATACATACAAGAATATCTCTGCAGCAGAATTTGCTTCTGCTCATCATGTACTAAATGGATGGTGGGAATTGTAGTGCAAAACATCTGGTGGCCTAAAACTGAGAAAGACTGCTGGACAGCTCCCACATGCACTGCTTTGGTGCTTTAAGTAAGGGCTTGCAAGTCTGAATGAGCTATACACCCTCTCCTTTCCACTTCGAACCCAGCAGCAGCTCCACACCATGAGCTTAACCGGGCTGCTGCCCAACTTCTCCCCTTCCTGCAACTTGTGGAACTCTAAGCTGTCCGTATGCTCAGAAAGCTAAGATTCCATCTAAGATGTCACCCCACAACTAACCGGGTCGAACATGCTGTGGTGAATTCAGGCCGTCTGTTTCCGTGGAGTCCGTTCACACGTGTAGTATCAGCAGGAGGGGCTGTCTTTCACGTGCGAACCGCCCCTCCTAGGTGGGCCAGCGAGTCTTCTTTGGCCTGTGCAGGCGGACCGCAGGCCAGTGCGAGGCGAGGGGACCAGCCCGAAGGCCAGCCCGCCTGAACTTGCTTTAGGGCACGTTTTCCCTCCCCGCCGCTCGGCTCTTCCGAGCGCCTTTATCTGGGCGGGGTTAAGGCAGGATTGGCGTCCGAGGCGCTGCTGGGGGAATGCCCACCTAGCGGTGGCGGTTCTGGTGGCGAGGCTGTGTTTGCGTGTCTGCCGAAAGGAGCCAGGGCGGGAAGGCAGGCAGGAGAGAAACAGAAAGGGAGAGGCAGGGTAGCGGCGGCCGGAGCAGGAAGGCGGGAGGAATAGCGCAGGTTTAGGTTTCCCAGCGCAGCGGCGGCGGCCAGTAGACTCCTCGCTCTCACCGCTCAACTCTCTCCTCCATCTTTTGCGCGTGAAACCTTTGCAGTCGGACCGAAACCTCTGCCGAGGTTATGGAGACTGCGGGAAAGAGGCGCCTCGGCAGGATGGCTCGCTGAGTGGGGTGGGGGGGAAGGCAGGCGAGCAGGCGGGGAGGGAGGGGAGAAGAAAAGAAAGAGAAGGAAAGAAGAGAACAGCCACCCTCTTCTCTTTCCCCTTTTCCCTTTCGTTTGGCTTCCCCTCCCCATCCCCCCCTCAATTTGGTGTCCAGTCTTTCTCCCCCCCCCTTCCTTCTCCCGACATCACCCCCACCACATCCTCAATGCCTCTCTGAACAACATATAGGAAGAGCGCGGGAGGAGGAGGAGGAGGAGGAGGAGACCCAGGGAGGCAAAGAGAAAGAAGAAGATGAGGATTATTTGCAGACAGCTTGTCTTGTTGTTTTCTGGATTTTGGGGACTTGCAATGGGCGCTTTTCCTAGCAGCGTGCAAATAGGTAAGCGCTGCATTGGGCTCGGGAGGGGGCAGAGAACCGGCGGGGTGGCACGGAATGGAGGGAGAGGAGAAAGTGGAGGGGCAAGTCCGATTCTAGCCACAGCTTTCCATTTCGGAAAGAGGGGAATCAAGTGTCCCCGAGTGCCCTTTTCCCGTCCCCTCACGTGTCTTTGTGAAGGCAGGGATGCGGGGTGGGCTGGGGGGGGGGGAGAAAGAGTAGCGGCTGTGCCTGTTATGGTCGGCAAGACGGATATATGCATGTGTGCGATGTGTGTTCAAACTTGGGAAGATGTTCCCACCTCTGAAATGCACCGTTTTTCCAAGATTCTCCCGTAAAGCTCCTCTTAGCCCAGCCTGCCCATTGCAGTAAGCTATTTGTTAAGGGGCCGGAGCTGGTGATGGTGGTGGTCTACCCCTGTTAGGTAGTCTTGGGTACCACTTTGAAACTTGGTTATGATTTCTTTTTTAAAAGGTCTCCCTAGCATCCCTTTCCCACTTGTCTCTGCCCTGTGTCAGTTGTCTTCCTTCTCTCCTTCTTTGGATGGGACTCAGCCCTTGAATCCCTTCCAGTTCCAGCTAAACCACTGCATCATTTCTCGTGCACTCCTAAAGATGCTGTTAATAAGGCTAAGCAACTTCCTGCCTGCCCAGAGGCTGCAGAAGAGGAAAGTTCTTGATGTTCTCTCCCCAAATTCTTCTTACCCTTTCCTAGTATCAGCCCATTAAAAAAAGGAACGCATATCTTGGGGTACATGAGTGCACAGGGTCTTATCTCTGCCATACTTAAAAACCTTTGGCTGTATTTTGGAAGCTCTGTTCTCTTTAATCTGCCTGCTGCTTTAGGTGGGGAGGGCCAATTTAGCCCATTCACATAGATGAAAGGTAAATGGTTTCAAAGGTCATTCTCGTCCTAGCAGATATGTAAAGAAAGGAGTAATAGGAGATTTAAAAATCCCATATTTGGAGGGGGGGACTCAAAACTGGGAGTCTAAAAGTCTTCCAAGCTTTGAGTCTTTATGTTCATAAACATGAATTCGATGATTAATAGGAAAGCTACTTACAAGGGCTGGCATAAAAATAACCGATACATTTTCCTCCTTTTCTATCATTTACTTACTAATAGGTGGTCTCTTCATCAGAAACACAGATCAGGAATATACTGCTTTTCGATTAGCAATTTTTCTTCACAACACCAGCCCCAATGCATCTGAAGCACCTTTTAATTTGGTTCCTCATGTTGACAACATCGAAACAGCAAATAGCTTCGCTGTAACAAATGCCTGTAAGTAAAATAATCATTTATCTAAAGTTATGATCACATGATAGTGAAATGAAGGTAATGCATAGTTAACATCCCTTGGGGCAGGAAAAAAAAACCCTTGAATTTTTAAGTCCCATGTCCTGGATGCATTGAAACCCCAGTTACTTTCTGTTGTTAGTGAAATCCCTTAGGCTGACTTGTATTGAATAACTGGATGTGGCATTTACTTTAGTATTATTACTGTAGTTTCTTACTTTTGGGTTTCTATGGTGATGCATTTTGTAGTTCTTTTTAAAAACATGAATGTCTTGATCAGTTTAGCAACCTCCACAATCTTTCCTGTATGCCAACAAGATATGGCATCCTTGGCTGTGTTTGGAAAGTGGCTCTGATATTTGCAATCAGAAGTGCTTTCTAATCGCTGAGAGCAGAGCGAAGGTTTTGAGAGCAGTGATGTGCATGGTTATATATTGGAGTGACTTGACACTGCAGTTGGTCTGGTGATGTCACTTGTGGCTGCCTTACTCCTATATTCTGGGTTGTAAATGTCTCTTATTATCTTGTAATGCATACATCCTCTGGATATGTCTCCATACATCCATACATTGGTGTCAAGTCCAGTTAATGTCTGATCTACTTGAGTGAACACATAACTGGAATTATGCCTCTGTATATATGTCCACTTATGTATGTGGACTTGTTTAAAGAGAAAGGATGTGCTTAAATGTGATAGATTTAAAAAGGGATGCTTCTGAAAATCATGCTGGATGTATCCCAGCTTGCTAATAATATTTGTGATATTTTTCTATAAAATGTACATAAATACATAAGATCTATTTGAAGTTTAGGGTAGAAGCCAGCCATACGTGGACTGTAAACCTGCAATACTACAACAAATAAGAGATTTTTTTTTAATTTGGGCACTACACTTGAAAAAAGGTTTCTATTTTCTCAAAAGATATATGATCCTTAAACAAGAAGTTTCAGATACTGTTTCTTTCATGGTGTTAAAAATCGGAATATGCTGCTGAAGGTTTTAAAGCACATTCCTTGTGTTGTTTTCAAATGGAGCTTTTGCGCTTTAATATGTAACACGCTCTTTTGCATCAAAATATCAATATGAGAGTCTTAACCCAGTTCCAAAGAGGAACTGCAGGACAACTGCCTAGTGAAATGGAGCAGTTCTTTTAAGTTTTACCTGACCTTACAAGGAAGCTTCTAAATTAAGAAAGTTTTGCTCCCTTCGTCTTCAGATGTTTTTACGCTAAATGTCCTCTGCTGCATTACATGTGAATTATTAGATTATATATTGTAGGAAAGGGTTTTTCCAAGATGTTTCTGAGGGAGAAGGGTTGAAATATTCTCAAAGGTTTTTAGACAGTGGGCATGTTCACAGGTTGAAGTGTTCTTAACCAATAAGTTTCAGAAACTCTTCCTATGTAATCCTGTGCAGTTTTAGAAAATATATGTTGTAGTACTATAGAATATTTTTCCTGTGACCTACAGTGTGTGTGTGTGTGAGAGAGAGGGGTCATATATTTGAAAGTTAAGACTAAAAGTTATTTTCTCTTGGATTATGCTATTTTTTTACTCATTGTTCTCTTTTTTGTCATCAATAATTATAGGAATAGCCTATTCCAATAATGCATAGGTGATAAATTATGCCATATATAGAAAATATTGAAGAGAAAAATCTGTGCATAATTTACATGTACTCTGTGCACAAATTATCATTCCATTTACATTTTTTTTACCTCAAAGTTGTACCCTTTGGGTACAATGTCAATGAAATGAAATCCCATTTATTTCAGTGGAAGATATCTCAGCATGTATTTCATATTTCTCTTCAAATGGATTGAAACTAAATTGACTATATCGTATATTTTATGGTCACTAAACTGAGCTTTGGGTACATATTTTAAGAAGTGTTCTTTGGTTGGTTTTTGCAGAAGAAGGAGTAGAATATTTTAATCTTATACTAAAGAGAAATATTCCCTTATAATGAAGTAAAAGTGAATGGTCTAACAAATGAGTGAACATATTGCATGTCCCTTAAGCTACACAAGAGCAGAATCCTGCAAAAATCAATTGTCTGATAGCTGGAGGACATTGGTTTCCATGTGATTGCATTAGCTGGGTTGACAGAGGCTTCCAGAGCACAGATGTGTGATATGTTCTAACCTAATTAAAACTATTTATGGAAAAAATGCACTAATACTGTGGCAAACATGTACAGTATAAGAACCAATCTGACTCTTTTAAACATAATTTTGGATTGATTTGTGCATGCAAAAGAAGGAGAAAATTAACAGAAATTCTGATGAAATGCATAAGTGTGTCTGTGTATTTGTTTGTTTGTCCTTGTATAGTAGTTCCGAAAAACCAATCTGTATAAAAGTCTCTAAACTATTGGACATAAATGAATATTGATATAAAGTCAAACCTCAAAGATTTAAGATGTGGTCACTTAGTTTTATTTCATTTTGTCTTGAAGGGATTATTTATTGAAGCTGAACTATCTGGACCATTTTGGGAATTAAAGGCAATAAAGAAAACACAGAGAAATCTGTGTGAAAAGATGAATTTACACAATCAGGAATGATACTGTAGAAACTTGTGGAGCTAATGATACATTAGTTTGTTTTTGTAACTACAATATTTGTTTGACTCTGTATAAATGTCATGATGAGTTTCTTCTATCTTGATTTTCTCCAGGCCCTCAGATATAGGAAAAGCAGATGATTTGAGCATATGGATTCCACTGTGGTTCAATAAAGATGATATTATTTATGTTAGTATAGTTCACATTTCTTCCTATTATGTGTTCGGCTTTTCATACATTGCTCTTGTGTTTTCTTGCAGGTGGGAGAAAAGTGTGTTAAAGAAATAGGTCTAGTTGAATATGGACATAGACAATGTAATCACTAGGTTATCGTAAAGCTTATAGCTATACCTTTAAGAAGAAGGCTATAAGTTGAGTAAAAAAATTTTTATGGTGATGATAATAATCTGAATATATATAGGAATACATTCTACTATTATGATAGAATTAAATACACTTTAACAACATGGGGTATATGCGTGAATATGTATTACACCATCCCAACGTATGTGTAGTAAGTAAGCTTTTGCACTTGTATGAGGACTTTTCTTTCCAAAATAGAAAATTATTGGGAACCACATTGCAACATTGCATGCCATTTCTTCTGAAACATTCTCAGATTTCTTTTGCACAACAGAGGACAAAACCAAGTTAGAAAAGATAACTCTAAAATTATGTTGTCACATTTTCCCTCTGTAAACATGGTCCTTCTCATCTGAAAATCTTTATTTGTCCTTGGGCTGTCATATAGGTATATATTACAGCTACATACGCAATTGGTTGTATTTCTTATCAATCAGCTTCTCTTAGCAGATCTTTGCTTTTGTTTAATCAGATTTGTCTGAAGCAACTTGCTTGCAGATCATGGGAAATCTATTTCTTGGGAATTTCTGAGGTAATGCTAGATAGATTATACTTTAGGGAAGGTTATAGAAACCAGTGGATTAATTCCACAATTTAGCAGATATTCACAACTTATAATGCCTGTTATAATCAAGATATTATTAATCGTAGCAGTGCAATGAACAAATAATTTGCTGTTATACATTACTCTGTTGCATCAAGGTGTTTAGATCAGTTTACTCCCCACTGTTTGGTTTGCATTTAATGCTGCTAATCAACAGAGCATGATTGATGACTGAAAGCACTATAATGGCTCCTGTTCCTGCATTGGCTTGGACAATTTGGAGATAATTATGATTAGCATTCAATTTGCTGTGGAGTTATTGGTAACAATAGCATCAGACTATTTTTTTTATATTTGGTTCCTACTATGACTTCTAATTACATTTTACAAGTTACATATGTGTTATGGGATATTCCTTTTTTCCATTATTCCATTATTTTGTGACTGGACTGGACAGCATTTATATTTTGAGTGAATCATTGGCTTCAAGAGACTTGTATATCTGCACCAGCAAATATATGCATATATTTATTTTGGTTCCTACAATATTAAGATAGCATAAAAGACTTTAGGCTTTTCTGGCATTACTTGGCTATTTTCTTGGTGTTATTCACAAATGCACTGGTGTCAATATTTAAAATCCTCCTGCTCATTAGAAGCTATTTAGAAGCATCCCTGAAAAAATAATGCATGAAGGTGACAGGAAGGTATCCACAAACATTATCATGCAGAGATATTCTTCAGAATGAGTAGTTAAAGATGCATCATAAACAATGATGATACCAACATGCAGTGGTATAAGTGCTGCGTCTTTTTAATGTTGTGTGATTTTTCAATCTTCTTAAATCTGAAAGAAGTGGTCAATTTTAATAGGTTATCTTGTAACTCATCATAGCAGCTGCATTTTTTTGGCAGCTTCATATAGAAGTCTGAAAAAAGAAAGTGCTGCTTTAAAGAGTAGCTGCATTAATGCATTTGCATGTTCTAGAGAGGAAAAAAAAATTTTTCCCCAAATTTAGGGGTAATCATCATACATTATTTTCTTTTTCCCAGCCCCAAGTAATTTTTGAGGTCTTTATTACTGCTCTGCCAAGTGCTGGTCTGCAGCATATTTCTTGTGTGCTAATTCCTTACTCTTGATAGTCAATTATAAACTATTAGAAACTATTTATTTAATCAATTTCTTCATTGTCAGTTCTAAGGCTGGTGTTATAGCTGTTATTAGCTGGTTTTCTTTCTATCTACTCTTAGTCCTGGTGTGCTTACTTGACTTCATTACTACAACTGGAGATCGTTTGCTCATTCAACTATCAAAACAACTAATAACATTAAAACAAAGTATAACATGCTCTCACCAGTGACCATTTTGATAATGATAGTCACATGCCCTGTTGAACAACACTGTTTTAATTACTTTTATAAAGACAAAGATTAGGCTACAGCTATACCACTTGGGAGAAGCTATTGCAACAACAAGGGTCACAATAAACATTGTCTCCACTCCCCCCCCCC